GTATGTATGTATGCGTGTGTGTGTGTGTGTGTGTATGTATGTGTGTGTGTGTATGAGTGTGTGTGTGTATGAGTGTGTGTGTGTATGAGTGTGTATGAGTGTGTGTATGTATGTGTGTGTATGTGTGTGTGTGTATGAGTGTGTGTGTGTATGAGTGTGTATGAGTGTGTGTATGTATGTGTGTGTATGAGTGTGTGTGTATGAGTGTGTGTGTGTGTATGTGTGTGTATGTATGTATGCATGCATGCGTGTGTGTGTGTGTGTATGTATGTATGTATGTATGTGTGTGTGTATGTGTGTGTATGTGTGTGTGTGTGTGTGTATGAGTGTGTGTGTGTATGAGTGTGTGTGTGTATGAGTGTGTGTGTGTATGAGTGTGTGTGTGTATGAGTGTGTGTGTGTATGAGTGTGTGTGTGTATGAGTGTGTGTGTGTATGAGTGTGTGTGTGTATGAGTGTGTGTGTGTATGAGTGTGTGTGTGTATGAGTGTGTGTGTGTATGAGTGTGTGTGTGTATGAGTGTGTGTGTGTATGAGTGTGTGTGTGTATGAGTGTGTGTGTGTATGAGTGTGTGTGTGTATGAGTGTGTGTGTGTATGAGTGTGTGTGTGTATGAGTGTGTGTGTGTATGAGTGTGTGTGTGTATGAGTGTGTGTGTGTATGAGTGTGTGTGTGTATGAGTGTGTGTGTGTATGAGTGTGTGTGTGTATGAGTGTGTGTGTGTATGAGTGTGTGTGTGTATGAGTGTGTGTGTGTATGAGTGTGTGTGTGTATGAGTGTGTGTGTGTATGAGTGTGTGTGTGTATGAGTGTGTGTGTGTATGAGTGTGTATGAGTGAGTGAGTGTGTGTGTGTATGTGTGTGTGTGTGTAAAAAAAAAACCTTACAAGGAGTACTGTGCTGGTACCAGGGTACCTAGTAAAATGACTGTACTCTGATATATGAACCGACTACAGTAACTAACAGAGACTAATAGAGAAGGTGTTCAGATAACACTCCCACTGTGCTTTAAACCCCAGCACAGATCACTTCAGTGAGTCTCGAACCCGTGGCTTTCCTAACCGCACACAGCAGAGGGAATACTGCTTCCTTCTCATCTTCAAAACGAGCCAAAATCCAAATATTTCCGTTTCGGTCAAAGAACGGTGAAGTAAACAAAGCAGCGATTAATTCACAACAATGTAGCTTGAGGCTAGTTAGCGCTTGACTAGCTACTGTAATTCTAGATAAACTACGCCAGTCAGCTCGAAGTTAAAAACTTTAAAACGAAAACGAATCAGCCCCATATTCATACAGCACTTTATGTATAATTAGGAAACGGAACTGTAGAGATAACATCATTTAAAGACGAATGTCTGACAAACCTGGAGTCTGAATTCTCGCTGATAAAAGCCCTCAGACACGGCGGGACAGACCGGAAGCGCTGCGAAAGCTCGAAACTGCTTGTTTTTACACAATAAAAGTCTCATTCCACGGCATAGCATTCACTGTTCCACACAAGTTATTAAACTTGGCAGGAGTGTAACGTTACATAAAAAGCAGGTACACCTTCATCGACAATGACACTGAAACAGTTTTGAACTAATTATACTGGGTTTCCATAGAAACGCATTAGATGTGGGCGTTCACACTAAGCAAACAAACAAACAAATGCGATAAATTAATTCAAATATGTATTTATTCACTTACTTACGGGCATTTTCCGAAGTCCCAGCTGGAATCTGGTCCTCTGCTACAAGTGGTACTCATTTGAAATGAAAAGATATAGGAACATACACAAAACAGATGCAAATATTTGTATATACACTGCTGTAAGTGTTTGAGAGAGGCGGGGCATAGAGGACCTACAATAATGTACAGTATTTGAAAAATAATGTGTTTTTTGAACATTAAAGCATGTCAACATATTCTGTTACACCAAATAATGATCTTATAAAAAGCATCATATGACCCCTTTAAAGAAGTCTCTTCTGTTCATCAAGGCTGCATTAAAAAAAAAATACAGAAAAAACAGTAATATTGTAAAAATATCACCATTTAAAATAATGGCTTTCTATTTTAATACATTTTAAAATGTAATCGATTGCTGAATTTTCAGCATCGTCTTCAGTGTCACATGATCCTTCAGAAATCATTCTTAAAGAGGAGGTTGATCAGTTTTTTTTACAAAGCTTGATTGTGTTTATGGGGTGCAGTGTAACGTGTTCATGCTTCGTAAAAAACAACAACAAAAAAAATTGTATTTTCACATATCTTACCTTTATTCTGCACCGCTGTTTCCATTCTCGTGAAAACGGTCTGTTGAGTTCCTGGTTCTAGGAAGCCCCTCCCTCAAAAATATGCAATGGGCTCTGATTGGTTAGCGGGCTCAGTGTGTTTGTGATTCGCTAACCGCCTAGTGCACATTGTCTGGAAACGCCACGCCCCCTTACCATTATGGGTAGTTGTGTGTTCCCGGGGGCGGGGTTTATGTAAACATCGGGGTTAGTGATGTCACAAACCCAGGAAGAAGCTCGTTGTAGTCCCTACCAGCCGTTTTTTTTGTAGTCCTTAAACAGCAAAAATATCTCCCTTTGTATTGAACTCTGAGCGTCGTAACTTTGCAGACGTTGTACTACACGTTGTACTCAGACGACTACATAGACATATTTATCACAAAATACATATTTTGTAGATATAAAAAAACACAACAAAAAGATTAAAATTGAATAGAAAGTGAAAATATAAAAATTAAACCTAATTGAAAATGTTAACAAAAACATAGTATTTTAGTGGCTCTAAAATATGACTGGTTCTCAGTTTTTAATGGTTCTGCTTTATTATTATTATTTTTTGTAGTTAAATGCTGATATTTATGAAAATGACCCTGAACTGCAGAAGATCCGTGAAGAAAGGGGTTATTCATATATGGATATCATAACTATTCACCCAGATACACTTCCTGATTATGAGAACAAAGTAGCTTATGCATATCAACATGATTTATTTTGTATGAAATAAAACTCATTGTCAGTATAGCTCACACTTAATTTGGTAATGAAATAACAAACTCTTTTGACAAAAACACGCTTTCCAGGTGAGCTAGAGAACTACTTGTTGGTATAATTTGCATTATATATTTGTACTAATTATAATATAGTAATACTGCAATACAAAAACACTGAACAGAACAAAGTGTCATATTAATGAAGACGATGTTAGAAAAAGCAAGTAAACTGTCTGATTATATGACAACATGCTTTTCTGTATGATCACTTACAGTTTAGCACATTAGTGTTTGTTTTACTATTCATACCACAACAGTAAATAAGTGTCTTTATATAGAAATATTACACTATAGATTAGCTTAAAAGTGACTGACTCTTCATTTGACGATCTAAAAGCATTTCGCAGATTTCTTTGTTCATTGATTATATAAAACTATACTTTCTCTGCATCATAGGTGTACAGATTAATTTTCCGTTTTTCATGTGTACCATGTTTTGTGAAGTTTTGGACATTTTGTGCAAATCAGACAAACAGCCTAGGATGGGTTTGAAAAAGTAGGTTTAAAAAAAAAAAGAGATACAGAAAAAAGATAAAGCACATATGAAAATGTGATTTGGGGGCACTGAATGATTTAGAGAAAATATTATTTTTATCCTAGCGTTTACAATTCCCAAGTTGTTAGCAAAAAATGTAAATTAGATTAGATGGTGATTCTCACCAAATTTAGTACACAGATTCATACATTATGCTAAATTTTATAGTGATCAGTTACTCAAAATGCATGTTATTAGCAAGGGCTGCACGATTATGACAAACATCATAATTGTCTATTATTCCCTTGAAATTGTAATTGCGATTATTAATTACAATGATCACAACTTACATTGAATGATGTTTATACCATTGTTTAATGCAACTGCATGCCGTATTTTTATATGAAAATAAACAAGCTGAAAACACTCTAACTGAAAAACCTTTAGTGCTTTTCTATAGCATTAAGCCTCAAATGTCAAATATACATCGGATTGGTTTCTTCTTTAAATTATAAAAAAGTAAAAATATGAATTGTATTATAGCGTTATACTAAAACTAAAATTAAAATAATGGGAAAAACCCTTAAGATATCATGTAGAAAGAAAAAAACGCATCTAAAGCTCGCAGAATAACATAAGTGGGCTATGAAAGATTACGTAATTGTGGCATCCATAATTGTAATCGCGATTAGAAATTCGATTAATTCTGCAACCCTATTATTAGCTGCAGGCGGCCATTTTTGTTGTTTTGTACAATTGATTTGTAATGGGTTGGTTAGCACTTGTACTGAAGAAGAAATACATTCAGTTTAATTTGCCTTGATCAAACTGTTGGGGAGTTATGACAGGTGTTTATTTGTAGCGCCCCCTATGGGCAGATTTGGATGCAAATTGGTGTGCTTCCTCAGAATGTTTTATGGTCTGTGTGTATCAAGTTTCGCTAAGTTTGGACACTGCATTGAGCAGATATACTGTAGGTCGATGAGTCAAAATGGGCATCGCCAGTCTGTTATTGGATTATATCTTCACACAGCTTTTTTGTCAGCTTTTACTCATGATAGTCTTGGTATACTTTGCCAAGTTTCATGCAAATCGAACCAACAGTCTCTAGAAGGAGTTAAAAAAATTAGGTTTTTAAAAAAAATAAAAATGTCGGGAAAATGCAATTTTGAAATAAAATCATTGGCAAAACAGTACAAAAACAACATGGTTGCCCTCAATATATGCTGCATTACTAAAGCACATCTCAATGTCAGAACCGATTTTCACACATTTATTAACAAGATTTTCTTTTCTCATGTTCAGAAATACACAGTACAGTTATAATTAGATTAGATCCTTTGAAAACAATCATTTAATGCATTTAAAAGCATTTCTCGATTCTTGAAACACGGATAACCGTAACCCTTTTTTCCCTGTGCGGAGCAAATATCATTGCGTTATCAAGTTAACTTTGGTCCTGTCTGTACATGGTAAGAACAACATACTTGAACTTGTAGAAGCTCCAAATGCTTAACATTAGTTTCAACCACAGCTTCGTTCATTCAATCCTGCCGCCTGACTCACAATCATTCGGTAATGTCCAGCGTGTTGGATGGTGGCGTCTCATACTAGCTTGAGGCACTGGACGTTGAAGCTGTCTCCCTCTCTACAGGCGGTGGCCTCCAGCAGAGCCTGTTTCTTCTGCGTGCTGCGCGAGGACTCCAGCTCATACATGGTGGTGAGGTTGAAAAGCACGCTCTCGTGCAGGTAGAGCGCTGGGTCCTTGTGCACCAGGCTCTCCAGCTGGCCCAGGGACTCCTTCAGCCTTCCCAAATACAGCAGACACACGGCTGCATTGTTGTTTGCCTGAAGAACAGAGTTGGCATTGTTAGTGCTGGCAGTGTCCAGTATTCATCCGCTGCTGTTTCTCTGGAGGTGCATCACTCCGTCATACGTGCTCAACTTACCACTGGGTTCTTGGGATCAAGTTTCAGGACGCTGGAGAAACACGTGTGTGCGTCTGCATAGTTATTCTGACTCAGATAAACAAAAGCCCTGTGGACAACATCACATTCAGCTTCAAGAGAATCACAGATGCACATACACTTCAGATCAACAGTTTGAAATAAATAAGATTTTTTTATGTTTTGGAAAGAAGTCTCTTATGCTCGCTAATGCTGCATTTATTTGATCACAAATTCAGTAAGGAATTTTTTTATTTTTTTATTTTTTTTTATTAATATAGAAACATTGATTATCATCAATATTGAAAACAGTTGTGCTGCTTCATATTTTTAATATTAAAGAGGTTATATGATGGTTTTTTAAAGATCATTATTTGGTGTATTTGGTGTAACAGAATATGTTGACATGCTTTAATGTTCAAAGAACACATTATTTTTCAAATACTGTACATTATTGTAGGTCCTCTATGCCCCGCCTCTCTC